TACCAATCGCTAGTATAGAGGATTCCCCAAGAAGCACCCAACATTTGTCGTCACAACTAAATCTGTTTTCCTCGCATAACTGCGTGCTGTAGCATATAGTCGTATTGTGTTCATCAAGAAGCATATGAAACCGGAGTAGTCTCATGCACGAAAATAATATATTTTCTATATCGATTTTTTCCCAGGGGACAGGTTGTATATTTAACTAATTGAGAGCATACATATGTGATATAAAAACAAGCCCTTTAAAGATTAAATCTACATATCCCGTAAAATATAACAGCTGTATCAAATAGATTTAGTGGAAACAATTCATTACAGACTTTTATGAAACAGAGTGATAAATTATGAAATCATATAATAACCTCGCTCAGCTCCCTTTCCCCTGAACAATGGCTATATTCCAAACTCTTAAAGATGCGATAACTCTATCACGAAAACGTCAGAGGCATTAAATTTAATATAATAGCGCCTCCACTGAATATGATTACCTTCAGCCTTTCTCTATGTATTATACCTTTTCAAGCCCCAGATACCGAAATATAAATGATATAAAATATAAAAGCGAAAATATCGCTTTGTATAATATAAAATGGTAAAATAACTGAATATAAAAATTTTTGTACTTCAGGGTACCGTATATATCGGCCAATATGTAAAATATTTTAACAAAATGAAGTGAAGGTATATAATTTGGTCCACTTATGCTATATTGTATATTATAATTTTTGTGAACATGTTATCTCAGACATAATGTGGTTTGGTGCTAAAAATTTAATAAATCGATCCATATGTTCCCCTTACTCTCGTATAATCAATATAATTACTTCCGTTCATATTAATGTTGACTACTTTGATTTATCTTCCTTCATACATATACCCAATATATTACATTTCGTTTCGTAAATATTATAAATCGTATACAAAGCAAGATGTAGCATTTAATTAAACTCCAATTTGGTATTGAAAGGCAAGCTGGAAACTTTTGAGAAAAATTTCAATATTCCATCTTATCAATGTTAGAGTAGCTAAATAGCTCGTACGTTTAAATTAAATAAACATGCGCTATCAAAATTTTACAAATAGATCAGTTTATTTGAACTATGATATTTTATGCAAAAATCGATTTTCTTTCTTTTCAAGGAGAAATTTTGATTAATGCAAGTTAAAAACAATTACATTCAAGAATTAAGATCTTAGAAGCTTTAATAACAAATGATTGAAAACGTTAAATAAATAATGCTTGTTTTATCTTTGAGCCCAACCGAAATGACCTATGTATGTATATGTGATATAAACTTAACCAAAGAAGCCAAATTAAATATATTGGGTATATGAAGAAAAAGTTAACCAAAGAATTGGAAATCATTATATTAGGGATATAATGTCATAATAGTAACTAAGAAGATGTATACCAATTTCATTCATATAAATAAAAGGTATAAGGTCAAGTGCATAGTCCGAAATCACTATACTACACATAACAAAATCAAAATTAAATTATTTTTATACCCTTTTATGGGTAGTATACATAAATATGTACGTATGTTCTTTTTGATTGTGGTATGAACATTATTTAAACCAATTTATAGTAGTATTTTGATACAAACCTGAATATTATCTCTTCATAATATATGAAAGGCATAAAGTTGTAAAAATATCTTATTTTACAAAGAGTGTTTTTAATAATTCCAATAAAAGGTACCAATGTTTTGGATATCAACATACATATATACATACTTAGTTATATGTATTACTGTTGGTTGCCGCATTACTCTATTTAATATTTTATTCTACTCGTACCAAGTTACCACTAGCCATCACGTTTGACGTTACTCCGGAATCTCACTAATTAAATTCCTTTGAATTCTTCCTAATGGAAAATGTACAAACATACGTATGATACGTGCAAGTATGGTTTGTATATAGTTTACATTATTATATGTACGTATGCATACGTTTATTGGCATTCATTGTAAAGGAATTTTTCAGATTTTAACAAAAGTAAAATATTTACCTAAGTACAATAATTTAAGTCATATGTTTTAATTAGTCTGGTGCAGGGTTTAACTTTTACCCTAGACCATTTAAATGTTGTTCTTTGAAAGTTAACTTTCAACTTTTGAGGAAGATCATTTTCTCAACTTTACATTTAATATTTCACGGAATTGTGAATGGATTATATAACATTTATTTTCATAATTTCAAATATAGTAATTTTGCTTCGTGTCCAATATGATATATCAGCAAAGCAGGAAAAGGTCAACCAGAGAATCGGAAATCAATAAGGGATCTGAAGAAATCATAAGGGATATGAAGTTAAGACCAAGGTCTGGATCAATATCATTCACCACTAAGCCACATTACGTTTAAGAAATCATGTTCACTTCATTTAATTAAAATTTCATGCATTTTGACCAACATAAAAGGTTTAAAGTCAGGGGAAAGTCGAAAATACATACTTCAAGTATACTCGAGAATACATATTCGATATAAAATCTTCTAGAATAATACAATCCTTATATGTAGTATATGAGAGTTGGAGTAATTTCCGCCGATTTTACACATTTTCAGCATTAAAATATAGTACATCCAATATTATTCGTTAACTTAATTTTGTTTAGATATCTTAGATATTGACCGATAAAAAATCACCCGGAAGTTCGAAAACCTTTATCCGATTTTGTCCA